AAGTAGCTCGAACGACAACGTCAACAATGCGGCGACACCCAGTGTAGACCAGGTCACAGTCCAGTAGGTCGTTCCTTATACGGATGAATGCAAGGCTGATGTTCATCCAGGAACATCAATGGAGCAGATGCTAATCCCACAAATAGGTTTGATGATACCGTCTTTGATCCTTGTTGCGCGGTACAAACATTTTGTTAGTATCGTGGTGCCATCGTCGACCTTCGAGTCAGTTCCTGGCACGTTAACTGCTTCACCGAGCACGGCTACAAGTGCAAGTACATCGGTTATCAGGTATGCCTTCAGCTTTGAACTGAAACTGGTCTCACTGACGCTACGTTCAGTCCTACAAGCATCGGCATACCAGTTCCGCCACTGTCACCAAGCGGATCTCTCAAGAAGGGGTGAGTGCCGTGTAACTCGTTGTAACTCGTTTGGCAAGTCTGACCTGAAAAACAGCCCAAAAATCGCATTGATCATCGGTCTCATAATCGCCTTCCTCATTCTCTTATTTGTTCTGATCGTATGGCTCTGTCGGAGGAAGCGCCAACGAGGTACATTCTCATCCATCTCCTTAGTATTCAACCTAACTAACCCTTGAATCCAGAAACCCGGCAATTCATGCGCCGAATTCACCCTTTCGCCGAGAAATACTGGTTATACCCCAACGTTGCACAGGAGAAACAACTCGGTCACCAAGCAGGAGATGCTGCTAGTACGCTCGTCGGCTCAGATCACGGAGAAGGCGATGTGGAGAAGAGTCCTGTTGCGCATGTGCCGCCTCCGATTCAAGTTCCTATATATCGCCCGGAGACGAGGTCAACGTCTGGTTCTGTATCTACTGTGTTGCCAGAGTACCATGCCTTGATGACGCCCATGCCTCCGGTGTATTCGCGCATGTCAGTCGATCCGTTTAGGGTTTAGGGCTTAGGGCTTAGGAATAAATGTATTTGGACCGATACTTACTATGGGGTGCAGGGTAATACAATCCACAAGGAAGTACAAATGGCAAAGTTTTGGGCTCTGTAGACTACGCTATCCCTTCAGTATTTTTTCCAAGGTTATAGACATATATCTGATGCTGCCTTGCTATTTTATTTGGGATCTTTCTATGTTCGACGTGAATGAGACTCAAAATGGTGGTAGAATGCACCATCAATTTGACGTGACAACTCCAGGAACATTACCTTTAGGGTATCACAAGGCCAGAAAAATGTACAAATCCTCAAGCTAGTCATATAGTCATCTCATACTACAAAATACACTGCATATAAACCACGGGAACGACTACAAGAGCTTGAACAAGGAGGACGATGGAGGAGGCGTGACACAGGGATCAAAAAGACTTGCCGAAATGAGAATTGCCGAATCGTGCCGCTCCTGACGCAAATTTCGTCTAAGACATTGCAAACCCAGATACGAAATGAGACATGCCTCTCAAGCGCAAGAAGAAGCAGCCCCTCAATATGTCTACACCTTCTCCTTCGCCAGCTTCACCGTCTCCAGCAGAGGCACCCAGTCCAGTCACTGAAGAGAAGATTCAAAAAGCAAAAGAAGGATGGTTGGCAGGAAAATACCGGACAATGAAAGCGGCAGCAAAGGCCTTTCATCTGCCATACGACCGATTCCGTAGCCGCGCATTAGGTATCACGAAGCCTCGAAAGGAAGCCCATGTCAATCAGCAGCTGCTCAACAAGGATCAGAAACACGCCCTCCTTGATTGGATCCAGTATCTCGGCCTGACTGGTCAACCTGTCGATGCGCGCTCAGTGCGACCCAAAGTTCGCGAAATCATGGAGAAAGATGGAAAAACTGTGGACGAAAATACTGTATCTGACACATGGGTTCGGAACTTCAAGCGGGAGTACCGAGACGTAATAAAGAGTGCACGAGGTGCTGGCTTGGATCCCTCACGTTCGAGCGCCTTCAACTACACTGCCGTGAATGATTACTTCATGAAAGTGGACGAGATCTTGAAGAAGTATGGCATACCTTGGGAAAACGTCTACAACATGGATGAGAAGGGGATCCAGCTGGGAGGTGGGCGCAGAGGCTCACAGAAGAAGTTTTGGTTTGGCCGGGAAGACAAGTTGATGTATAGGATTCAGAGCGACGACCTGAAACTGGTGACGGTTATTGAAACTGTATGTGCAGATGGAACAGCCGAAATCAAACCTGGTTTTGTGTTCAGTGGAAAGACCATGTGCGACGAATGGCTTCAAGTTGACAAGGACATCCTGTGAGTAATTTTGCAGCTGAAGACGACTATTCGGACTCATTTATCGATTTCAGTGTCGCAACCTCTGACAACGGCTGGACAGACGATGAGATTGGGGCCCAATGGTTCCAAAAAACATTCATTCCCCAAAGCGCTGCACGAAACAAGTCAGGAAAACCAATTCTCTTGATTTACGACGGCCACGGATCTCACACTCACGATGGATGGGTTCAAGCAGCTCTCGAGAACAACGTGATTTTACTCTGCCTTCCTCCTCATACTACTCATCGACTTCAGCCTCTCGATGTCGGATGCTTTGGGCCACTTCAGACTGCCTGGTTCAACCGTTGTGATCAGATGCTTCACGAGACTGGGTCAGGTATGGAAATGGCCGATGTTGTGAAGGAATATATGATAGCGCGGGCAGTGGCATTCAAGGAGAGTAATGTCCTGTCGGCATTCAAAAAGTCAGGAATCAGGCCCCTCAATCCTGAAATCTTCACAGCAGCCGATTACGCACCTAGCAAGACCTCATCTACAATACAATATGCTCCTTCATCCTTCCCCACACGACTTCCTGCTGCACCTGACGCATCTTCCGATGATGCCTTCTTCGATCCCTCGAGCATGGTGGCCAATGGAGGCGAAGAAACCTCTGAGGATGACAGTGGTGACAGTGATGAAGAGGGGAGTGAAGACGAAGATTGGGAGGCAAGCTCTGATTCCGAGTCAAGTTCTGATGGAAGCCAGAGTGATTCCGAAGACGGGAGTGAGAATTCTCAACGAGGGGAACACGAGGCTTCCGTCACCCCTGCCATTGAATGCAGCCCCGGATCGCCGAGTCCATCAACTTCCGTCACCTCCTCATCTTTGCAACATTCCCAGGTCATTCTCTCACCAGTTCCCCGTCGAGTTCTGCCAACTCCGGGTTGGTGGAACTCACAACAGCCATCGTACAGAACACCATCTCCATCAAACACACCCAGGTGCCAGACTCGAAGCATGTGCCGAACCCAATCTATGTCCACCGCATCATCCTCTACCAGTACTCCTCTTCCAACATTCTTCACCGATGAACGAAATCTCCCTCCTCATGCTGCAGCCACGATCGCATACTATCGCCGGCAAACTGCCATCGCTCGACAAGCTGCAGCTGAGGCAGAAGCTCAACGTGATGCCGCTAATGTTCATGCTATTCTGATGTCGCGCCAGGCAACTGTTCTCCGTCATCGCTTGTATGGAAAGGAGAAGAAAGGCAAGCGGCAAACTCGAACATTGGCTCGAATCGTTACATCAGAAGAGGGACAGGCGGAGGCACGGGAACAGAGGATTCGGCGAGAAGAAAAGCAGCAAGCAGCTGAGGAGGCAGCCAGGAGGAAGGCAGCAAAGAGCAAAGAGGACATCGAGAGACGTTTTGAGCAGACGAGAACACAATCCATCTTTTCGGGCAGTCTCCATAGCAAGGGAAAGCCGGAACTTGGAGACATTGCAGCAGCTATTCCCCTGGTTGTCCCTGAAAAGGCATTGAAGAAGGATATCCTAGCAGCAATAACAACTCATTTCGACACTCATCCTGATTTAAAGCGGCACCCGCGGTTCTCTGGGCTGTTCACAAGAAAACGAACTCGTAATGTACGCGACATTGACGAGAACGGAGACGCGCCTGGACCCTCAGAGGATGTGTCACCTCCTGCTCAAAGACCAAGGCTCAACGACGTTACTGTTTCATACCAGCCGCCGCCACCACTGCCATCCACTCTGTTTACCTTACCCCAAACACCTCACCATTCCGGACTTCCTTTCGGTGGCATGTACTACACATCTATTCCTCCAAATATGCAAGCAAGCTCCAGTAGAAACACCCTAGATTCACCTAATATGCTGTATAGATATTGACATAAGAATTAATATGCTATCTTGTACTCTACACCCGTGCCCTGTCTTTCGGTGGTCGAGGGGGCCTTGACGGAGTAGCGTAGACCTGTACTGTCATTTAATACACTTGAACAGATCAATTTCTGGTTGGAACGTACACAGAACTGCCCATTGTCTTCATCTGTACTGTAGTCTTCCGGCCCAAGCCCGTTGGTATGATATTTCACTGGCGGCATGCTGTTTCGCTTGTACGGTGGTTCTGGTGAGGGAGTAACTTTCTCAGGGCATTTATCCCTTGCAGGTCCTTTCAGGCATTGAACGCGAATAACCTGGGAGTGCGACGTCAGTGAATAATAGCAAAAATATAAACCATAGGCACGCACCATTGGCTGCTTTTCCAGCTGGGATCCGTCAACATATACTGTGATAAAAGGGGGTGGTTCTTCTAGCAGTTGATCCAAGACTGGATTTGTGCTTGAGATGGTCAAATCGACAGTGGATTCATCAACATGTTTGACTTGAACGAGGTCGAGATGAAAATCGGATGAGGACATGGATTATGATGACGCGTGCACTTGGGTTCTGATGTGGGTTGCGCCGTTTGTGCCGGCGGACTTCAAAAAATCGCTGAAGCCGAGTGTTGCCATGTGTGACATTTCGTTACTTCACCGTTACATTGCAATTGTACTTCCTTGCTGCCCCTCGGTCATTGCCCGACAGCAGAGGAAAAAATCAGAAAAATCCAAAAAATTCAGTATAAGGGTTTTGAATAGTGTAGAATAACTTTGTGTAGTCAAATTTACGCAGGGGGATATGTGAGAGGCTGCACCTCAATCAGTTGTATTACCGTGCACCCCATAGTATCTCAATGCAAGGCGACTCGGGGAGATGGCAAGGCCCAACGTTGTAATCCCCCTTAGCTCAGTGGTAGAGCGCTTCACTAGTATGGCGATAGGAAACTTCGGCTATGAAGAGGTCAGTCGTTCAAGTCGGCTAGGGAAAATTATGTGGTTCCCCTTTTTTTTCATATGTCCCAGGTCTTTCAAAACAGCAGTTACATTCCATATTTTAACGACTGACATTGGCATAAACGAGTGTAGGGGTATTATGAGGATCTACTCTATCATAAGGGTTCGGCTTGCGACATAATCTGAGGCGGGAGAGGGGATCTGGCCCCCTATAAACCAAGAAGAGAGCCAGCCCATAACGATAAACGAGAAAGCAATATAAAAACCATGAACCATGGAACGATATACAAGTAAAACCATATGAAAACAAGGAACAAGAGATAACTGAAGCATGCGGAGATGTGTTGATGAGATGATGAATGATGAATAAATATGTGTTGTTATGATTCAGATGAAGGGAACAACAATGCAAGCGGGAAGGAAACGTGATATGATTTCGTTGTCGTCGTGATCGCAGTCGCCGTCGACGGCAACCGCTTTCGGACCTCCATAGTAACGTGGAAGGCTCTTGGGGTCCGAACTCCTAATCTTCATCCATCCGTGAAGGTGTTTGAATACCTCTCAACGGCGCTCGACTCCTCCCGTCAATATTCATCTTCTCTGCAGAGGGTGGTGTAGCCGGAACTGGCGGTAAAGCCAACCCAAACGCAACAGTCATTGACCTAGCACGTCTAGGTGTAGCAGGAGACTTTGGAGTAGGTGGTAGTGGCGGTAAAGGAAGAGCCGGGGCCGGTACAGGCGCTGGCGGGGGTGGCAGGCGCCGGCGTTGTGGTCTGGGTAGACAAACATGTAGAGTTAGCGCTGTATAGCATGGACGAGTCAGAAGAGCAATAGCCTACCTCAGCGCTCCGCCCAAACTCCCGCTCCTCATCCTTCCTATCCTGCCTACAAGGCTATTCCCCTCTGTGGCCGTCTGCTGGTTCGTTATACTCCCACTCCTCGCTCTCCTGCCCAATGCAATCTCCGCCTTGTTCGATGGACTCCGTACGTGGTGAATCGTACTAGGCGAAGCTTGGATGCTCAAGCTCGACCGTCTCTTGCGCAACTTGGGTGTCTGGGCCTTGTTGCGGTTTACATTGGACGAGGACGAGTCTTCGACGTCACTCGTATCATCAAGAACGTCCGATCTCAAAGTAGCAGTAGAGGTGACTGTGCCGACTGAGATGTTTGAGATGGTTGAAGCGATGGAGGCTGTTGAATCCATCCTAGGACGAGTGTGGTTGTTGTAATGAGACGGAGGAGCAAGGAGGCCAGAGGAAAAGAATGCGCTGTATTCGAATGTTGTGGCCATGTTGTCTTCTTTTGTTAATCGTTTCGTTTCGTGGAGGGAGAGGGAAGGAAGGAAAAACAATGGGGGCGATGTTGTGGTTGAAAGAAAACAAAAAAGAAACCAGGAACGATGGCACGTGCGCGTGGTTCAAATCGCCCCGCCTGCCGGAGCGCGGGAATTTTGGGAAAAAATTGCCGAGCGGGATGGGTCGGTGTCGTCACGGAGAACACGTTTTAATTTACGTTTCCCTGAATGGTCGGTGGAAGACGAGTACCGTTTCCAGAGTGTGGGTGTAGGTTATGTATTCGAGCAGAAGGATGGTTGACGTGGAAGAATAAGAGGAGGAGCCGCCTTATGTATGGCGCTCGGCTACTAGGTGCGCGACCGTCGTTGAGCAACGGACACTAAGCGTTTGAGGGTTTGGAGACTCGAAGAAGCGAGAAGGAGTTGGGGTTTATATACTCGAGAAGATGTATGAAAAGGAAAATCCATACTCCTCGTAACCCACTGCCTTGCCGTGCATACCTCACATAAGCGTTGGTCCAGCGTAGTTGTCGAGGAACCCAAGGCTATGTACCTGGTAACTTGGTGCGGTCTGGTATCGGTGTACCTCGGGATCACAATGCAGAAGGGCTAAGAGAGAAATTATCATCCTCTATCGCTATTCACCAAGGAGGCTCGACAGGAAACTTGTGCAGAAATAGTTCTTGAGTACTATTCTGATAACTCGTAGCTAATAAAAGAATGAAAAAGTCAAATTTACACACCGTTACGCCCGTCAATCATACTTGAAAAAGGCATCGAGATTAGAGTGCGTTCCGCATCCAGTCCGTAAAGTCCGCCAAGAATATGGTGAAAGGGTCGACGGACCGACAAGTGTAATCGTAGCCAAAAATTCCCCCTAGCCGACTTGAACGACTGACCTCTTCATAGAATTATTGGAACCGAGATACTAGTGAAGCGCTCTACCGCTGAGCTAAGGGGGACTATAAAAGGGGTTGTGTTTGGTTATCAGATTGGGAGCTTGCGAGCTATTGTTTCAATGTTTGACTTCGGCTGTGAACATTACCTATGACGCAAGCGTAGCTGATTCTAAACCCGGCGAGGTCCGATTCATTTCTCACGGCATGCCAGTGACCCAAATGCGAAGAATGAGACACGAATTTGAGCCAATATGTACAACGATACAAAGTACTAAACAGCGTGCTACAGCATTGAAAGTAGAGGGTCTTGTGAATTTAAATACAGATTATGTAGAACTCACATAGGGCTAATCATGATGCTGGAAAGAGATGGAAAGTAAGGGGCTGGGTACGGAGCTTAAATGCCGGGGATGTTTTCAGCCTGAAGCGGTCGATTTTGTCGACGTAAAGCATGGTGGGTTTCCAACGCGCGTTCCAAGGCGTTATTCTCAATTTCAGCCTCAGCCTGTGACAGAACAATTAATTTTCAGTTTCACTCATCCGGCGGGTAAGCGCGTCGACGTACCAGTATACGCCTTCGAAGCTTTCCTGCCTTCCAACGAATACCTAGAGGCTCTTTCCACCGCGTCCATATGAGAAATCCTATGTATTCCTTCCACGATGCCTCATCGATTGTGTAGCATGCTTGTTTTAACGTGGAGATACGAGCCTTGAGCCTAAGTTTATGTCACGTATGCATTAGTGAGATAGCGGTGATGTCGACCAGAATAAAAGACCTGTCACACGCTTCCTCCAGCTGAGAAAAAGATGGCAGAGGGATCTTTTTATTTTGGGTGGCGACGAGTTCCTTAATTTCTGTACCTAAGGCATCCAAGGCGTCGAGATCGATGTATCCGAGAAGCCATCTCACAGAGATGATGAATAAAAGGCCGATACCTAACCACAAGGCATACGTGCTGGAAGTGATGTCTTCGGCGACTGAAATGGGGGTAGCGGTTGGAGGCATCGAGATATCAACGAGAAATTGAAGTGTGACAGATTTTGGTGGGAAAAGTGAATTATAAAGGCCGAAGAGGGGATCTCCTACGCCCGATTTTGTACCACGATTTAATGTAGGCCGTGATAAAGTTTTGACCCTAAAACAGCGAACAGAGCTGTCAAAAACCTTGATTTGGTGCGTGTGTATCGCTTGAGTAACAATTTGGCCGCATTCTCCCGCCCGATTGGATCCAAATCATCTCAGGAAGATGTTAGAAAAGATGGTTAGTCAATTTTTGCTGTAACGAATACAAAAGAGCTGTTCAATTAAGCTTCCGCAGCACCACCCATCACTCCTCTTTGACGGGAGAATCCAAAAGAACCCTCGAGAATTTCGAGAATCACCGGGCGGCAGTGATCATCTTCGGAAATATGGGATCTGGCACGTCCCTAATGCATATACACGTCGTGTATGAGTCGAGAATATGTGTTGAATACCTGAATATTGAACAACGGACAACGGCTTATGAGAAAAATCAGTAAAGCCAAAAGGGAGGAAATTACTTACCTGCACTTACTTGCTGGCCTTACTGGAGCCGGCCGAACAGTGTCCCGTACCATCAAAGCACGAACCAGGGGGTTGTCCGCAAGCGGCATAGAGAGAACAGTCACATCAGAAGTTATCTTGGTTGTCACCCTTCTAACCAAATAACTACAAGCAACCCTTTTCTCAATGGAATTTTCCATGAATTTTGTCCCCCAAGTTCAGCACTCCAGCCAACCTTTCACAGAGCGATTCTGTCATGTCCCTGAGAATTTCAACCCTCGGCTCTTCAACTTCCAAGTCGATTTCTTGTCGCTGAACACCCTCGAGACTCCGTGACAAGCGAGGTACTTATCTTCGCGGGACGCGCGCTTTCGAGTAAGTATAATTTGCATCGATGCTTCCAGACGCCAATCTAGCGTCGACGCCTCAAGAGCTCCGAAGGCCGTGGCTATGGGGCGCTTTGATGGGCGCTTGTTTCCTGGCCCTCCTTTTGCTATCCGTCTTTGAATTCACGTGGAACTTGATTAACAGATATAGGTAAGCCATGGTACCCTGAACGATATGAGGCTCATCAATCGAGCGCAATACCAAGTTCAAAGCAAAGAATACTGTCTAATTTACCTGGCTGGCCTCGTGTCATCCTACTGGTGACTTGATTCTCTTCACCCGAGCACATCGTCGCTCTACAGAATTTGTTGGATATAAGTATTTACACTTAATCTCTTGCTGTTCCCATCCCTGCTATCTATTGACGACTATCGTCCCGGACTTTCAAGATAAGGCTACTTAATGGTGCACGAGCATAATAGCAAGGACTCGGACATTGATCCGTATGTGCCTCCAGAATATCATCTTGTGCCATGTGCCCTAATATTTGGCGTTCATGCATTCCATGCTCAATTCGTTGCCACACGACTCTGGCCTGTGGGGAGTAATAGATTTTACTTACCGCACCCCAATGGATGGGAAGGCGTCTAGGGACAAAAATGTGTTTCAAGAATCGTCGGACACCGATAAGTTCAGAATATTAGTCATGAGATCCTCTTCATAGCCGAAGTTTCCCATTGCCATACTAGTGAAGCGCTCTACCGCTAAGCTAAAGGGGGACGATGCTTGCAAACTCATTGACACATATCAGTCTACAATGGGACACTACAACGAGACTGCTCTGTTTGTGAACCATTGAAAGGGCCTTTTCTCCACTTCCGATGCCAAGCGCTCCAAAAGATAATACTCGTGGGGGTGGGATCGACCAAGCAACGAATTCACGAATTCACGACTCTTGCGTCGTCAACAGCAGACTCGGGTCGAGGTGTGGATGTGTCAGTAGGCGCTTTCACGAGCGCTTGACTCTCTTGCCCATCTTTGTGCTATACGACCTTTGAATATGCCAGCAGATATATTCAGGGATGTGAACGCACTCCAAAGCCGATGTATACTCCGGATAGTGAGATGGGACTTGTCCCACAAATGCAATACCGAGTTCAACATGAAGAATAATTATGGCCCAGTTCACTTACTTGAACTGAAGGTTTCACTTGATGCTGCTTAGCGGTCTCATTTCTATGGAATCCAGCTGGCCCCGAGTCATCCAGGCGTCGTCTTGGATCTTTCGTCACCCGAGCATCTCGCAGGTCTGCAGAATATACTGGGTATACATGTACATGTCCTTGTGTGACTGCCTACTGTTCCCTGGCATTTGCCGTATATGGATTCCATGCTCAACGGAATTCTACGCAATACATCGCCATACGACAGTGACCCTTGAGGAGTAATAGGATTAGGTTACCACATACCCCTACGCGTTTCTTACCGCCCGTCGATGTTGTCTTGCCCGTCTTTTAGTCATCGACCTTGAAGGGGAAGGCGTTTGAGTGCGGAAAGATGTTCCGAGAGTCGTCGGTCACCGATCAGCTCAGAATACCGGTCATGAGATCCAAAATGGGCTAGCGTAAAACATGAGGTACTATTGTATCAGATACCAAATCTCCATTTCCATACAAATGTGGCGTCAGGAAGATTAATGTTGGACTGGTCGTGCCACCGTGACATCAGTCCGTATGGATGCGATACGGTCTCTGAACCGGACTATGTTGTCGCGATGCCAGATAGCGTTCGAGAGCCGCTTTTTCGACCTCAGCTTCGGCCTGTCGCAACTATCAGAAAAAATCTGTTATCCAGTCGAGTGAGGCATACCAATATTTCTCTTCGGAGCCTTCCTGCCTGCCAGTTAATAGCAACAGGCTCTTTCCATCGTCTCCATAAAATGAAGGAAATGATCGATATCCACGACGCATTGTCGATGGAATAACACACATATTTGAAGTCGGATAGCCGGTGTTTGAGTCTGCGGAAATTTCAATGAGTAGGCGAGAAAAGAATGCAGAGGAGCTCAAATACCCAAAAAGTGAAGCCTCAAAGGAGCTTTTGGATGGTAGACATAATTTTTCTCGCTGGTCAGTGAGGAGATCGTGTAGATCTGAGATCAGGGACTCCAGATTGTCGATATTGGTATATTCCAAGAGCCATTTGAGTGGAACGGCAATGACGGTGGTTAACACCAAGCCAATAGCGATGGCGTTGGCATAGTTCGTCTGTGTGGCTGATAGTGCTTCGAGGGACATGGTGGGGGCTGAAGAAGGCATGGGAGTGGGGTTAACATGAGGCGCTGTCACCTGTGAACTGTTTTCTGGGGAATTGAGTGGATACAATGATGGACCTGAATTCAAGTTGGCGTCTAAACACAGCCCAGAATGATACTCTGCGTCGCGTGGCTCGCTTCGGAACCCAATGAATACATTGCACCGGGAGAAGCTGATGCTTACGTCTGCACTCCAGGTGTGGGGTTGACATCCTCAAGACGCTGGAGCTGAACACCGTTCAGCAGAATGGATATACAATATTGTTATTACTCGGTGCATAGATAAAGTTTTGGTATATCCACGCCTTAACGCCACAAACAAGACTGTGGCGCATTATTTCCTAGAATGGCACGGAAGAAGCCGGCAGAGCTGTAAAATTGAAAATCCGAGCGCACTTGGCGAACATTCACCGAGGTCGCACGATTCTATGGACGACCGCAAATAAAAGATTAGTTTGGTATCATCTGGCTTTCTGCTACTGCTACATTTTCTAGATCCGCCACCAGGAGACGGTATTTACCACTGTACAACACGGATACATCGAAACTATCACTATTATGCGGAGAACTGCTTCCATACAGGAAATCCTTCAATGATGCGCTCGAGTGCGCCTTGTGCTTCCGTCAAGCGAGCCCTTGTCGCTGATGACACCGCCCAATCCACGATTAGAGCACGATCTAGTGCACTCCGGACGCACGCCATTGTTGGCACCGCTTCTGCTAGTAATTCCGCCTGTATTCTCCTTACCAGTGAGTGGCGGTCCACAGCGTTGACTTGGTCTTTGACAGTGGTGATATAGGTCTTATGGTCACGTTGCCACACCTCCCGATACTGTGTCTACAATGAATGAGCGGATGCGATATGAATTTTGGCACGAGCAACAAACGCACCTAGAT